CCAAAAGCAGATATCAGCAGTACTTCTGACTCTCTTTAACTCTTTGTACTTCTCCTAGAGACTTGTGCAGTGTTCAGGTGCAGTAGTCATGCACTGAAATGATTCTGCAGCAGAGCTTTGTATGCCTGTCTCTACAGAGCATGCACTTCTGGACATAAAGGGAATAAAGATGGAAATGCCCAAAGAACATTTATAATGGAACAAATGAATCTGGGTTAAATACTGGAAGGAGGATTGGATTAGCATTTGTGCAAACCTGCTTGTGCCTGCAGGTAAGATTTGAAGAACCTTGATCATCTGGAGAATTTCACAGGCAGTGCTGCTCAGGATGTGATCCTTAAGTGCTCCAGTCCTTGGGAGCAGCTGTTGCCATTTTAGTCCCTCAGGAACACACATAAAAGTTCTTCTTTGCTTCTTTTTTGGACACCTATTTTTGTATGCCAGCACCTTCACACAACTACATATGCAGTTTCTGACTTCCACTACTTTAGTTACATTTCTTCTTGTTTGAATATTGGCAAGGTTTTGTTCACAACTTTCTTGTTTTTCTTTCCTTGGAAATAAAAATTACAAGTGACCTGTGAATCTTTTAGGTTGTTATATCGATAAAAATGGCTAAATCTGATCCTAAGTGTTACGATGCATAATATGCTTCTACAGTTTCTGTGTAACTAGTCAGTTAAAAGAAGTGCTAAAGCACAGTCCAAAAGTTTTTAACATCTTCTGTCTTAATATTTACAAAGTTAATACTATAGCTTAGCCAACTAAAATCATCTTCTTATGTTACAATATGTTTTAATTTCTTTCTATCTTTGCATAAATGTTTAGGGAGTAATGAGCTCAGAGTGTCCTGATTAAAATAAACATCTTTGTACCTGGATATTCTTTACAGCTAACAACATTTTAAAGCTGCTTTCAGTTTTTCCCTCCTTCCAGTGTGAATTATTTTTAAGGTGTAGTAATCTGCAGCTAGTTAGAGATCTGCTGTTTCTATGTCCCTGTGTATTTTTTTTCTTTTTTTCAATCACTCTGTATTATTTCTCCTCCTTGTTGCCAGTTACTCTTCATCTCATTTTTATCTGCACTTCTTTTCTAAAGATAGATAGAATCATATAATCACAGAGTAGGTTGGAAGTGACTTTTAAAGGTCATCTGGTTCCAACCCCTCCTGTTTCAGCATTGCACCACCCTTACCATAAAAAAATTAATCCTTATATCCAGCCTAAATTTACTTTCTTTTAGTTTAAACCCATTACCCCTTGTTCTATTTTTGCCTAAAGATCATCAGGAGCAAAAAAACCCTCCAGGCAAATTTAGTGTAGATAAGAGAACAGCTCTTTTAATGAAGGCCTTCTGACCATGGAGTACAAAAGGCATGCACCCACATACATAATTCTTACACTTTTATACCTTTGCTAATTATCATATCTAATGGGGATATCCAATCCTAAGACCCCTTTTGCCCTGGTACCACCCTCATAATTGCCCCACTGGAGCCCGTCCAAGGGCCTTGAGCCTTCTATCTTGTTTTGTCTACCCTATCTCTTGTTATTCCGGTAGAGGTGCACATCCCAATGGAAGCCAATGGAATGTTCTTGCTGAATATCTATTACCTTGAAAAGTCAGTTAAAAGACAGTTAAACCGAAGCTTCAGGAATGTGACACACAAACTGTGAGAAAGTAACGGTCTAAAGTGAAGGAAAACTCCAGCTACATTAAAATCTACAAAAAGCTAAAAATCCTAAAAATTCTAAGGCATCACTATTGCAACTCCTGCAATGCAATATTGTGTTGTTGTATAGAGAAGAAAATGTGCTGGACTTTTTGACTTGTAAACTGCTGCAATTTGACTTCTAATATCAAAAAGATGTGATTAGTAAAAGCAACAGGAAAGTTCTCGAAGTTTGAGACCCCTTTGGAGAGCCTCAAAATCAGTTGATGGAAAGCAGGAAACATCCATTTTCTATCATACATTTTTTCCATTTTCCAAAATATATGTAATTATGGTCAATCCTGTTTAAATTATGCTCTGGAAAAAATTGTTTAAATAGTAGAAGATTCCACTGCATTAGGAAAAGCTTATAGATGCATGAGAGAGAATGCTGTGTCTAGTTGCCCAGAAATATGGTTGAAGTCCAAACTGACCTTGCTGAAGGGATCAGAAATCTGTGCTATCCCTGCTATGTGTTTGTGAAGGTTTGGCCCCCACAAAAATCCAATCTCCAAGCTTCCCCCACCTCCCCACAATTTACCTCAACACCGAAGAGAAATTTTCAGGCAGGCACACTTCTGTATGGGGGAAGGGAAAATATATACAGTTTATTCCTATACAAAATAAATACTGTACAAACTATCATCATGGCTAGGCTTCGCGAACGAAGATTTGGGAAGGCTCTATCCACATTTGCTACAGGCACGCTGGTGGCTTATGAGGCCAATACAAGACAGACATATCTGATTGCAAAAGGCACAGCAGAAAGACTCCTTAGATGGAGTATTCTGCAATACACGGTTCTTTCTGCGTTGCCTTTTTTCCTCGAGAGTGATCCTG